CACTCAGGAGGCCTAAAATTACACTGTATGGGAGAAAGACAGAGAGTTTAAGCACCCCCCCCCCAAACTGAAACACCAAAATTGATCCAATATGACAAATGTCCAAAGTTGATGTTGACTACCAGCTGCTATGCAGCATTTACCAAAGCTACTCTTCCACAGTGATGCGCAATTCTTCAAAGCATTTAAGAGTGCAGCCGCTCTAGAGGCTCACAGTTCCAAGACCTTCGCGTTTCCCTGAAGAGGTTTAAGTCGCACGGTTCAGTAGCAAACTAAGCTGAACAAGAAATCTGAAAAAGAGAGAAAGCATTGCCCTCCCCAAGAGACATCCCACCAAATACTACTGCAATGTTTGTGGATTTCACGAACATGTTGTATACTATAAATAAAAAGTTATGCAAAGCTGATGTGCATGCAACATGTTGAGTCACACATTTAGGCCATGAAGTGTTAAAAGAAAATTACGAAGGGAACCTGGTTACTTAACTTGGAACCCATGAGACTGTGGTGATGCAGTATTAGCGGGACAAGCTTGCAGCTCTTGATCTTAATGTGACTGGATTCTCAGTATTTCCAGAGGTTAGGCCATCCCAGATGACAGATTAAGACAATTTGGACAAATTTGACCTGAGAAACCAGAAGGAAAAGAAAAGAGGCACACAAACGGAGAGCAGGGGCTTCTGCGAAGGACATCTAGGGTTCAGTTTTAAGCTCAAGCGCACAGGGGGATTGGCACTTCATTCAGGGACCACACTGATAATCGCTGACAGCTTCCACAGATGGCTTAGCATTCAAGGGCAGGCGAGATCGAGTGGACAGACGTGAATGATCTGAAACAGAGTGAACTACACAACACACCCACCACACAATACTCAAGAATTCTACTCATCTTATAGTTTAAGATGCAAAACAATAAGGCCCTGTGGCCAAAGAGATATGCAAGTAAAGCATTGTTACTGTTGATTTAGGTTAACATTAAGCCAGTTCCAAGATGTCAAATTTGTTCAATTACTACATGAAAAAGTTAATTTGACAAAGTTAAGCCAACAGCTTACTACACACTCCAGGTCTGAAGGATTTGCTCAGGCTTGAACCAGTCTCGAACTCAATTCTGTGAAAAAAAGTGGAGGAATACAACCAACCAAACCCAATAAAGGACTAAAGCAACACATTTGCGCTGCATGTGGATCAAATGTAAGCTGTACCATGCACAGCTTTTCCCAGCTACTAAAATTTAGGCTTTATACTCACACAGTTGCATGATATAGGTCCACATAAATGACCAACCTGCCACATGCACATTTGCACAAGGGCTAGTAGCTGGGGTCTAATATTGCTATACTATTAAAATGCAACCTGACTCCAATTGCTCAAACTGGGTGCTGGAAGAAATGGTTCCTGTGTAGACTGCATTCTTCCTTTGGACTGTTCTGAAAGATCAAACAAAAGGCAAACAAGAAAAGCCCTGTCCCTCCAATCAAAGAACTGACCATTGTTATCCTTACCCAAATGCTTTACTGCAGATGTGAGAAATAATGAATGTCCATCAAATCTTTCCATTATCACGAAAGGTTCTCGTTAAGAAAGCACATCAGTGCCATTTCCACAAACACGTAAAACAAGCTGCTTTCGTGTCAAGTACAGCAATTGCTTAACACCAATCAAAACAGATAACCCTTCTAGGGTCAGTGACATTTTGCATTTCAATGTCAATATTTGATGGATTCAACTTATCTGCCTTTAACTTCCACTTTGAAAAGGGATGACATTCGAGCTCACGTCACATCCGTGCTCTAAAAAGCTCCAAAGCTTTTAGTCAAACCTGAAAAGCACAAGAAAAGAAAGCTTCCCCACACAAGCCCCCCTCCAAAGAACAAATGCATACCAGAACTGTATTCAATCACAAAAAGCTATGCATTTATTATGGAAAAAAAAAAAGAAAATCCTTTACAGATAGTTCACTCATTGTATTGCCAATACAAAGCATGGTAACTAATTGCAAAGGAGTTGCAATATAGGTTGCAATTGTAGCCAGACAATGAATGTTTAAATAAATGTAAACATTTAGTGACCTTACGTGACATGTGATGTTCTAGGAAACTTGTACATACAATGAGTTAGGGGATTTCCTCGTGGTCTTGGGTTTTGGAAAGCGCACAGGACACAGCACACTGGAAAAATGCAAAGGAAAAAAAGCCTCTCGCCCCAACAATGCCCCACCCTCAGGTGCAATGAAGATATAACACTGCAGTTTTAGCATTACAATATTAAGATTAGTGACTTAACAACTGACTATGAAACAAATGGTAAATCTATTTTTCCAGAGGAAGCTTTTAATACCACTGGCCTTAACAGGAGGGGTTCCATCCTTTTGAACTGCTGACAAGGACTTCAAGGAAGACTGAAGTTTAACTGGACCAACTGTCTTACTTTTTTACTGTATGATCTGCAAGAGTCAAAAATACACAGCCCCTCCAAACCCAACAAGCAAATTTGGAGCTTGAACATACTTGCAATTTCTAGTAAAAAGACTTGTTACCACACTCTCCGGGAAAACAACTCGTTGCTACATCAGGAGACTAATTCTCAAGGCTGCTATCCTGTGAAGTAAAGTGTCCACCCATATCTCCTCGGTAGCATCTGGTTGCATCCTACTCAGGCCGTTTTGTGCTGGCAACATGGAGCTGAAAAGTCTAGGAAAAGACTGATTAAGGAACCCCATCCCACCCCAACCAACGTAAGGTGCACAGAGCTAGGTTTTACGGAGGACAACATTCGTAACGAAAAAAATATTAAACAATACCCAATACTTTCCAACATTTGGTTTAACTGCTGTGATGCACATGATTCCAATCCATGGCACTACAAATAGCAAGATGAGCACAAGTTGACCCAAGCACCTAGGAGGGGAAATTCTTTGGATGATCTCTAGGGGGCCAGGCCTGTGGAAAGAAGAACTCGAAACACATTTAAAACCCCACCCCTGCCCCCTTACACCCAAAAATACCAATAATAATTAAAAAAAGTATTCACTGTGCAAAAGATGGGTGCACTAAATACGAAGAGCCATACATGATAGTTACACCCAAGTGTACACTTCATGCATAAACTCACTGCAGGAAGTAGCTGAATGGTACCAATAAGGAGCTGCTGTTGTTGCCGGTGAGTTGCTGAACACACTCAATCGATTGTTTGGGAGACCTTCCACTCTCACACTCCAATGCTGTAACTTCTCTCAGGGAGACCTTATAACAAGAAACTGCTTCTCTTTCGGGCTGGGGAAACTACTTCTGATCGCAGTGGGTCGGAAGTCCAACCAGATGTTCCTCACGACAGCACACTATCAAGGCATTCATCACAGTGGACACCACCACACTCATGTCAGAGCACAACAGGAAGGCGACCAACGGTACAAAACGATTTACACGGCTTGCCTGTAAAGAGGAAGAAGAAAGCTGTGCGAGAAATTGTGTTCTACAAGTGATGATTAAAGAACTAAATGCCTGAGAATACTACAGTGATACCTATACCCAAAATACAAACCAATGCCCTCCACAAACGTGTAGCGCTAGAAGATATCCGTGCAACCTTTCCCACCCCAGCTGGCTGGCGAACTGCCGCTGCTTCAGTGATGAGCACCCTCTGCTGCTATACTGCCCTGGCATCTGGCTCCCTCTGGTGTACACTTGATGACAGCGAACTCTTGGGCACCCTCTGCTGTTCCTGCCATGCTCCTTGGTCTTGCTCTGCCTTGGACCTCTGGTCCCCCTCAGCCTTCTGGTCCTGTCCTGCCTGGTTCCACATTGGTCATCCCTTGCCCTCTGGTTCTGTCCTGCCTGGTTCCACTTTGGTCATTCCTTGCCCTCTGGTCCTGCCTGGATCCGCACTGGTCCTCCCTCCTCGCCCTTTGATCCTGTCCTGCCTGGTCACTCTGGTCCACCCTCCTTGCCCTCTGGTTCTCCCCTGAGTCCTTTGGCCTTCCTGGTCCTGCGATGTTCTTCTAAAGACTATGTCCATTTCCCCTCCAGTAAAACTTAGTCCAAATCCCCCCCCCCTCACAAAAACACAGTCCATACCCCCAAAGAGAAAAAAATAAATAAAAAAAATCCCAAAATAACAAAAAAAGGAAATGTGTATGCGAGTCTTGAAAAGCCTCTAATCGAGCGTTGAGGCTATAGTCCTAAAAAAGAGGAACTTTTCCATCAATAAGTACAATGTTGATGGCGTTTATCACATGAGAGTTAAGTCTTTTTTTTGGACTTATTAATTATAAGTGCCTTCTTTAAGTTGAATAGCCTACTCTTTGAAAAAGAAAAAAAACGGAAAAAAACTTAAACAGTATTATTGCAATACATTTTAATTTATTGAAATATCTACTATGACTAGGGTACTTACTGTTAAATGTAAATAAAACTTAAAAACCCTAGTCTATTGTATTTTAAAATAATTGTTCTTTTGAAGTTGGTTATTTCTATTTAGAAACGCTATTTAATAAATAAGGCATGATGCGGTGATATAACACCATAATATACCGTTTTCTCGAGTTACACGTCATGCGTAACGAGCGTCTTTCAAAATAACCAATGGCTACATTTGCTCATCATTACGTCACCACTTCGAGACTACATGATGTGGAATTGTAAGGCCATGAAAGGCTGGCTAGATATCGTTTCATTTTAAATCAGGCCTTTACTCTTTCGCCTAAAAAAGGGCATTTGTTACATAACAGTGTATCTACTTTTAATTCGATAAATTAAAACCGTAAAAGGCTACGGCGGAACCCAATAACGGTTTAATTTTGATAAGGAGCATTTCGCCAGCTAGACTTTGTAAGAAGTAATAAAAAAATCAAATATAAAAAAGTTTAGGTAACAATGCCTGACAAAACGATGCTCTAAAAACCCGACATCAAAGCACATCGACAAACGACGCCATCGCCCCAAAACGCTATCTAATCACGTTGTATTCCACGTCTATGATTAAGCTAAACAACATACAGTATACGGTTGAAACTACATATCAGCATTTACAACGACTCGATATCAGAAAAATCGTACTACAAAGAAGAAAAGTTTAAGAGCCATAAAACCTGAGACGACTCTAACACCGCCGAAGACGTTCCGCTGCCGTGTGCTAACTATGGTGCGTCACGCTGATATTTATACACCTTGGGTTGTGCTGCGACAAAAAGAGATATACATCCGATGACAAAAATAGTCCCACAGCAAACACACACAAAAAGACTCATTTGTGTTTATATAGACTTTTTAACATAAAAATGAGCAAAACTATTTACCTTTCTTATGAATAAGAAAGTAAACGTTGTAATTAAAACACCGTCGAACAAAGACCAACAATGTGTCGTCCTGTTCTTGTCTCAGAGCTCCTATGACTGCTGTGCGGATAACTGAGAAGTACCTGCTATATTGATCGACTATACAATTGTGTGATTATAAGCGACAACCTAATGTAACGTCACATATGTTTTAAATACGTTTTTTAGATATAAGATCGCTGAAGACGGTAAAAACAGCTGACGTCACGGGATCGGCTGCGCGGATTGATATCAACTTCTTTGTAACACAGCCCGACAAACCGGATCAAACCAGAATGTAGTGGAATCGTTGGGCCTACTTTCTTTTAACTGCAATGGTATGTGCTTGTGTTTGAAAAACAAAGGACAGTACTATATATTCATCTACATCTTTTCTTTTATATGATGAATACTTGACTGACCACGTTGGTTCTCACGTTTCTCTTTAGAATGTCAAAAGCCAGTGTGTTAAACTATATATGTTTATATATATATTGTATTATGTGTGTAATGTATATACCCATATTTTGGGGGCTTGTTCATAATGTCTTTATGTAAAAATGTATCACTGTAACGTCTAGTTGAATACCTTAAAACGTTCATTATATTGATACGGCTGTCTGGAGATCATGCTTAATAAAACTAGAAATATCCAGAACCATCTCGTGGCAGGGGTAGCAATGGAAATTTACCAGGACTGAAAATAAGGTGCGGAAGGTACTTCGTTTTACCAGCAGGGGGTGCTCTGAAGTTACATGTCTCTTGTCACGTCTTCCATTGAAACTCCCCCCTCCATTTATTTATTATTCACATGGTTGTTTTGCACAAGTATTGATGACTGTGATGTGAACATGTCTGGGCAAACCTCAACAAATAGACATCACTATGATAACTAATATCATTGATCAAGACTAAAATGGGGGGTAGTTGATAGGATTAGTTTCACTGCCTCCCATGCTTTGGTCAAAACATTAGCCTTTGTGTGCTAACCAAACTGCCACACAGAAGACATTTGTTTCTTCAGCATGACCAAGGTTAAAGCAGTCTGAGGGCAAAGACAGAGAGATTGTTTACCTTCCACCAGGTAAACAATAATCTCTTCTTATTAACCGTATATATGGTAAATTGTATTAAGTAATAAGTTATTAAATATAAAACCAAAGCTATTTCATGTAGTTACTGGTTTATTGTGAATCTGACTATTGAGAATTAGTCTCTACATGATCAGTGTGACAAAGGATGACTTGACGATTTAGATACCATTTGAAAAAAGCTGCATTGAGCCGCCTCTTGTGGGGGAAGTACAGCTGAGTCACTGTACTGGCTATTTTTTCTTTTTGATGCTGCAGTACACCCAAAACTCATACCTAGAGTCAAATTCAAATTTTAAAATCTATATATATATAAATAGTAGTATTATAATAAGTTGTTCTTTTACACTGGTTTATCAACCACAATTCACTGTTTGATGCAAATCATCTCTGGTAAATGTTCTTGTGCCATTGACATTCATTTCTTATTTCTGTTAAGATTATGGATGTGAATCACTTTCTTTCACTGCTTACAGATCTTTTTCTCTTGTAAAGCTGTAGTATCAATACTGCCATTATTCAGTATATTAAATATGTGTTGTTCAATAGTTTAGGTGTGAGACAATTTTAAGAACAAATAAAATTTGATAAATAACATTTGAATATTTTTGATGGAGTAGATTTAAAAAAAATACTTCTAGAGAAAATATGTATGAAATGTTTGAGCAACAAATACCCCTGCTCAGACCGGTAACAATGTTCGGTTCTCCACACCCCAGTCTAGAGCACTGCAGGATGAGAATGCAGGTCTTCAACAAAAACTGCTGCAGACATTGGTTTGTGAGAGCCTGAAAAGCATAGTTGCAAAAAAAAAAAAAGCTGGGATGTCCCAAGTCCTAAAGTTATATTTATACACTTATAAATATAATAACTTTCAACATGTATCCTTGATTAGCACAGACCCCACAACAAACAGGGTGTATGTATAATAAAGATTACACTAAACAGAAAAATGTACCATACGCTTCTGTGTAAGGCAGGGTAGTCATGTGACATCAGATTTGGAAATGAGTGAGCTCCAGTAGCAATTAATGGTTTTACATAATGTGTATAACAATTCATTGATTAACAGAACCTAATGCAGAAAATAAAAAGAGAGTTTGTTTTTTGACATGGCTGTCATACATTTTCCATACATTTATCCAAGTACATTATGACCTATCATAAAATTAAACACACCACGATTTTTATTTAGATTTTTATTAAGGATAGTTTCAGATAAAAAAAATAAAAATCAGGTTTCCCACTTAAGATATTAAAGATGCACTATAAGAAATTGTCAGCACACTATGTACAGCTGTCATCATTGTAAACACATGTAATGTTGTGTGTGTTATTTAGAACAAGATACCAAAGGAAAATTCTAACAATAAGTATGTGAGGTTTTCCCCATTGCTCTTGCTACTGGTGCCTATGCTTTCAGTTCCAAAATGTCTTCCATAAATCTAAGCCTATCAAGTTTCCATATTCTGCATTCTTAGGTTTTTTAAGTAATTGAACCGGCACCACACAGCAAACTGAAAAGCAACACCGCAGGGAATTGAACCCTGTTCTGACCTAATCAGGAGTCCAACACCAGAGTCTTTTGCTTTTTTTTTTTTAATTGTTGCTGCAAATAAGGACAAAAGCAAAACCTAGAGGAACAGACCAAGGAGCTTGTTCCCCCAGGAAAAAAAAAACCTTGGAAACCTGGCTTTTTTTTTTAACTGTCAAAGCATGGGAATCTCTCTTGGTCACAAAGGCAAAACTAGAAGAAATATTTGTTTTTTCATGATCCGCAGCATCCTCAGTAAAAACAGATAGGCATATGATGAAGTGCATTAAATCTGTTCATGCACATTAAAGACAGGATAGCAGCACGTCCAGCGACATTCTAAGCAAGTTTTTCTTTTTGGACTTTGTCATCTTGCCATTGCACAAGGATTCCTTTGGAACTGTGGAAACTGCAGCTTTGAACCAAGCTCTCTGCTTTGAACTTCACAGGTCGAGGTGTTCCATTTGGTAGCCATGGTTTTGATTGAATTTTATTTTTTGGTTCACTTGGTTAAATCCTTTTTCTCCATATATGCAGTCACTGGAGATCGTCAGGCGTCTGAGCCAGGTGATCCTCGCTGAAAGTTTTTGGGACCCAACGAGCTAAAGGTTTTCTCAGACCAAGCTCTTGGGTCAAAATTGAAAAAGCAGAACCATGGGAGATTCCAACCTCACTGGCAACTGCATCCACTGTGATTTGGTTATCTTCTGCCACTAGATTTCTGACAAGCTCAACATTATGTTCATTTTTTGACGTGGAAGGCCTTCCTTCCCTGGGGTCGTCTTGGAGACCTTCCCTACCCTCCTTAAATCGTTTGATCCAGGCATAAACAACAGCTCTAGATGGTGAAGCGTCCCCATAAACCTGTTGCAAAGCTTCAATAATTTTAACAGGTTTCCATTCAAGTTTGGTTAAAAATTTGATGTTTGCTCTGATCTCCAAATTGATCATCTTTGACGGTTGAAAAACCTGTTTAAATAAAACGTCACACAGCTCAACGCTTGGCAAAGATATGACGATAAAACTTATCAAGCTTTTCGAGACGACTGAGGCGTGATGGCGTTATTTAAATCGGGCACGTTTAATTTATTAAAAAGTACATATGTCAGATCTCACATGGCAATAATAAAACAATACTGTTAGCACCAAAGCACATCGACAAAAGACGCCACCGCCCACAAACGTGGCCTAACTAACAGTTGCTTTTAATGGCTACCGTGTACATCTTAAGACTGTAAGGCATCGTTTAATGTTGGAATAACACTTCGCTACTAAATGTTGTACAATAATAAGCAAAGAAAAAAAGATAAAGTAATGTTCACCTGGGACGTGTCTAATACCGACGAAGTGTTTTCATTGCACATGCAGTATGGTTTCACTGTGCCGCAGACTGATATTTATACACCTCGAGTTGTACGGCTTGAAAAACCGATAGTCCTCCGACAGGAAAAATAGACCCATTGCCCAAACATCAATAAACGGTGTTCGACGTCGCATCGACGGTGTATTACTGACACTTCTTGCACAGAAGTAAGAAACACTCTGACTTTAAACACCGTTGGGCTATTAATCTATATGAAAAGGGCTGTTCTTGCTGAGTGTGTTCTAAAACTGGTGTGATAAGATATGACGTGACATTTATTAAATTTAAGAATGCGCAATGAACCAACTAACTAACCAACTAACCAAACAACATTTTAACAACGTTTTTATTGAAATGGTGGTTCAAAGTGGAGAGTTAAATGGATAGTTGCCATTAAACCAGATGACCACACAAGAATGAAGTGCATTTGGCGATTTATATAATCTGAATAGATCACAATAGAATTTAATCTTTATTGTAATATCCAGTACAAAGAAAATACAAAAAATGAAAATGAAAGTGTCAACATTAGAAGAGAAGAACACAATAAACAAGCATATTTACATACACTACTATGTAGAGAGTGTCTTATTGCATATTATTCTGTATATTGCAACATTTCAAAATCATTACACAGTGGTAAACTACACACCTTAACCTTGCTTGTCATCAAAAAGAAAATTAAAAGGAAAACAAAGGAATAGGCATTTAATCTTTTTAATCTAAATAATTCATGTTGATTTTTCCATATAAGTTGATGGTTCTTATTAGAATTCTCTTTGCCAGTGTGTCGTAATGTATTGTATGTACTTCCCAAGCTCTGTAATGATGTATGTTATATTAATGTAAAATGTATATTTCAACACACTTAAATAATAATGAGTTAAACTGTATAGGATGGCTAAAAATGGTGCATGAAACTGCAACTATCCAGAAAAATCCAGTACCAGGTTGTGGGGAGGCAGTAGAAACGTATTAGTATGTAAGAATAAGAAGTGTAGGGTCCTTCATTATACCAGCAGGGGGTGTAAAAAAACATACCTTCTTGTTACTCCTGCAACATGAAACTTGTCTTGACTTGTCCCACTCGATTTAGATGTTTCACACCATAATAGATGGCTGTAACTCGAACATGTCCGGACAATCTTCCTTGAAGAAATAATTGTCATGACAATAGTCCTCATCATTTTTTTTCTTCACTGGTTGTTAAAATACAATCAGTCCTCCACAGTGAAATGCAAATAAAAAATGCTATATTTATAATGTAAATAAGAGTAAAAAAAATAGAGACATCTGTTTTCACACTGTTAAAACGTCATCTTATTGATGAAATATACTATATCACTGTGGTGATGGCAAAACATTTTAAAGAGCGTTCCGGGTCTGCATCAGACCTGATGTAATGCAAAAATGCAGATTTTCTAAGATGGATCTGTATGAATGCCTTTCCAGATGTGCTTATTTATCTTAAACAATTACCACTTCAGCAACTGTTGAATCAAAGGGATTGTGAGTCACTCAGAATGTGCAGGCTTTAGCTGAATGACAAAGAAAACCTAAAAATCAATAAGGAAAGAGAGGACAGTTTGATTTCCTTTGGCAGTGGACCTTATGTCC